AGCCGCTGCTGCTTTTTGCGTAACAGGAGGACCGGGACATCGGGACTTTAGCCATGATATACATTTTGAATTACTGTTACTTGAAACTCCAAAAAAATAAAAATTTGATTATCCCCTTTCTGAGACCCCCCTCGTGCTACAGCCATATCAAAATGGCTCAGGCCGACCGCGCTTTGCTCATTACTTCTTGCTCAGCGTCACACCCAGAATAATGGCAATGATCACCAACACAATAATAACGATGGCCAGGCACCACCACTTCTTCTTGCGCGCAGCACGTGCGCTGGCAATGGCCTTGGTCTCCATGCCCACGCCGGCCTCAATGTCGATTTGCGCCTCTTCGGCCTTGGCCTCGATCTGCTGCAGCGCTGGCTCCTGCTCCGCGACCATCATTTCCATGTCGTGGAACAATTCGGCCAGCTCGTTCATTGTGCGTGCGATATTCTGAATCTCCCGGTGACGCGCCTCTACCTCGTTGAGCGCGCTCTGGGCCTGTCCCCGCCGGTTGGAGTTCATCACGGCCTGCGAGAAGATTTGCTGGTTTTCCGAGCTGATGGCCTCCTGGACCTCTTCCTCCGTGGCGTTCGGATTCACTATATAAAAGAAAACGAATGTGTTAGTGGCCTACTATATTGAAGACAGAGTGACCGACTTAACCGCATAGGTGCATAAGCTCAATCTAATAACAAAAAAAAAAATTAAAAAAAATAGCAACATACCAATTTTGTACTGTCTTTCGATGCGCTCCTTGTTCTTTTGGCGGAAAGTCGCTTCGATACCCTGGTACCGCTTAATAGAGTTTTTGAACTGGTGTTTAACATTTTCAGCCTGCGTGTGTTTAGTCGAGTCGCGCATGCTGCGGCTCTCCAGACTCTTGATGCGATTACGCAGGTCCTTTGCCAGGGCCGACGTCTCCTCGGTTAGTGACGCGAGCTGGTTCGCCGTGAACCCCTCTGAGCCGTCCTCTACTTCAGCAAGACTGCGTTTGTGCAGAGCTTCGATGCGCTCGATGTTTGTCTCGTAGTGTCCAAGCGACCGCTTGATATCATCGACCTCAGAGAAGAACGAAATCATGTCATCATTGCCGCCAGTGGTAGCGCTGTTATCAAAGGGATTGCTGTTGCTTAGCGCAACGCTGGACATTTCGTAGCCCTGCGAATCAACGGCATTGTAGGGATTACTCTGACTGCAATGGGGTTAGAGCGAGCTCGCAAAGCACAAGAATTAATATAACTTACCCAAATTTGTTGCCGCCGCCATACTGCAGTGAAAAAAATAGAGGCTGTTAGTAGCGTAATATCGGGGGGCCCCACAGGGCCGATCGCAGACCGGCAATTAAACTTACGTTCTGATTGAAACTCATTATAGAAGAAATTAAGAAGAGGGTGGGTATTTACTGATTGCGAGTTGGTGATGTTGCTGCTGTTATTTCACTGTTGAATAGAAGGGGTATCTTGTGCTGGCGTTTGAGTTGCAGTTGTCAACGTTGACAGGAGAAAAGGGAAGTGGAAAGAAAAGAGAAGTTGCTGCAGGTGTTTTCCCCTTGGAATCCAGAAAAAAATAAAAACAAAAAACAAAATAAAAAAATAAAATAACAAAAATGAAAAATAATAATAATAATAATAATAATAAATAATAATAATATAATAATATCAGACCTGCTGCAGCTTCAGCGCCTTTTCAGGTGCTTTAAATAGAACGCATCGCCTCTTCCCTCTCTCCGGGGATTGCAGCAGTGCCCGTTATCACTGTCCTAGTGAAAATAAACCACGAGGAGGTTGAGATCACGACCACCACAGGATAGCAGAAGGTAAATATATACCTGTTGTTGGCAAAGCTGTTAAAAAGGTACGGATATCGCTATTAAGGCTGGTGCACTGGTGCAAGTGGGCGAGCAACTGAAACAAGCGCAATTGTTTCAAGACTCTGCCAGTCTTTCTTTTACATTTTGAAATCGCAGCAGCTCAGCACTTGGGTCTGTTCTGGTTACTTCCTAAAGGGATTCCAAAAGCAGAAGGGCACATGATCGCTACGAAGGGTACTAGTAATGTTAAGCCAACAACGGCATGGTCTCTGAAAAATTTGACATTCTTGTATTCACAACGTAGCAAAAGACCAGATATGCTTATTAAAACAATGACGATTCTGTAGGATATATTCATATTAACCCAACGATTTCACTTTTGGTATTGAGACACAGACGCTTGAAGGGCCTCAGAGGTGGGTAGGGGTCAACAAGAACCGCTAGGCTCGAATACGACGATGGTGGCAATGGATTCCATATAAACCTTGGCCAAGATACAGTCTTTGGACAAGATACAGTCTTTGGACAAGATACAGTCTCTGGACGTTTAACTGACCAGAGTATGGATTTGCCACTTCCAGTGATTGGGACCCGAGGCTGTGAATGTCAGGTTGAGTACACTTTTGTAACTGCTTTTGGGTTTGATTATTGTTAATTTTTTATTTTGGATTATTTAATATTTTTTTTCTTCTTTCTTTTTATCATTGTTGATATGACGCAGTTTTCGTTGTTTATGCGTTGAATATCTATTATTACCACCATTTACGACCGTTGGCCAACAAAAACTTTTGTGAACCCACAGCCTCCAAAGGAACGTGGCCAAGAGTCCATTTTACGCGCCAACCTGATCGAAGCAAAAGCAGCAGAGCTTAAAATAGAAACGAAATCTCTTGGCTCAGTAACGGGAAACGCAGGTGACAGTACAGGTACCGACAACAACAATCACCATCTCTTGTGATTTCTATTATCGTTGTCGGTGTACAAGTAAGAAACTCTTTTGACGGTTGTGTACTTGGTATTAATCACGCAGCTTAAAATGTGCTCTTAATCATACAGGATGAACGTAGCCTCCCATCTGCCATAAATGTACCAACCGATGAAGCACAATATTGGAGAGTTTGATTAGAAATAACTTTGGAATTGTTTAAAAAAAAATTCATACCGCTTTGTATAATGTCTGATTAGCAGCTAGAGAGCCCAATAATGACCATATATGAAATATGAAATTCTGACCGACAAAAATTTAACGAGTCTGATTAAAATTAAAGACGCAATTTCACATATAGGACGGATGGAGCTTGACAAGAGCCATACCGGTAAGTGTTAAATCCCGACTTATTACTGTTCCAATACATCTAATGTAAGGTATTTTTAACGTGTGACGAAATAGATTTATATCCTCCTCCATATTTGAAATCTTACTTTCATGTTCATTCTAGATAGATTTTTTTTGCTCTTTTAAAACCCATGAATCAATCCAATCAATTCAAAAACATGATTAAATAGCTCTAGTGATAGTTTGAGGTAAATTTGAATCTGCTTTCTAAAATATCCTTGACCCGCCATTCCCTTTGCTGTAGTGGCACGCGATCAGTGACCATAGCCTTGTTGTTATTGGGATCAACAACAAACAAACAGATAATATTGCAATGCCCTGGGGCTTCAATGAATTCAACATTGCTAACTGGAAACCCAGTTATTAGTTCATCGCGTAGTCTCAATACCGACGCGACCTCAATATTATCATTTCGTTCATAATAAGGATCTGTAAATAGGGCGCGAAAAACAAGTTGAGAAGTTGTAATATTTTCACTGTCGTAATACTAAAACAGCACTGTACATACAAAGCCTCCATTGATCTGGCCTTCAATGGGCCAGGATCCGCCAGGGTAATCGAGGATTTCAGGACTCGAGACAATACTGGCTGATTTAGTGAGGACCCTAAGCTTGCGTCCGTGAATGTCGTTATTTACCCGATCGGTTGGGTGCCCTCTCCATTCAACCCATACAGGCACGAGCAGCCGTGCTTGCTGCGCCATTTCGTACGCTGCTTCTATCGCGTCTCCAACTTCCATCTCCCCATCAAAATCGCGCTCAGAAACGTCATACAACTCATACTTGTAGACATAAAGGCTAACAAGGATCCGCTGCGGTTAGGAGTACTCTGAAAGAGTAAGATTGATTCTAAGAATTAAAATTCCAAAAATGCGTGCAATAAGGCTATAAAGACCTTTGTGCAACTTTGGGTGGAGGTTATAAATGTAAGATTACATAGTGACCTTACCATCTTGGCTAACGTTAAAGACAGATGGAGCCACTAAGAGTATCTGGAGATTCCACCCTCTTTCATGTGATCTTTAATTGTGAGTATCTTAATGCCAAATTTAGGTGCAGGTGTCGCTTTTGCGGTCCCTGTATATTGTCCGACAATACCAGTATTTTCGCCTTTAGGCAGGATAGGCATGATTTTATAAAAATAAGAGTACAGTAAAGGATGAACAGAATCCAAAACCCGGTTGTTGGAATTAGAATGCCAGCCCTTCTGTGTTTTAGGACCATCTTCAAGTCGGATATCTACCTTTTAAAACTCAGCTTTGATATCCTCGGCCACCATGCTATCACCATAGCAGAGAATCTTATGGGGACCAACAATAAACTGGCCGTTGGTTTGAGCCCTAAATTGATTGTAATACTTGGGTCCAGCAATAACATAGTCAAAAACTTTCACTTTCCCATCCTGCCCCAAAAGCTCACTTTTCCATTCACTAGTAATCTCAAAACTTTTTTTTTATATATTTGAACACACTTTGCCTATAGTAGAAAATTCGGAGTTTAACGTAACTAAACTACGAGTGAATGAAATTATGTACTGATAAGAAACTGACATGTATAATATTGGGTAAACTGATGTCAGAGTGATTTTTTTTCTTTTGTTTTGTGACATATGTTTAGGTTTTAGCCTTCAGTAATGGCAAACCTTTTATAAGTCAACCCATGTGCTAAAAATAAAAATAGAATAGATGAATAGATGGATGATCGGTTTAACAATATACGATAGATAGATAATCAGTTTATTGTCCTTATCCAATATACGATTTAATGAATAATTCTTTTTTTCAACAGGGTTGTTCTTATTATTAAATTGTTTTTAATTTTCAATCGAAAAAAATTAATTCATTAATGAATAAAAAAGAATTGAACGGTAGGAGAATCGAACCCCTGTCCTTCGCTTGGAAGGCGAAGATGATAACCACTACACTAACCGTCCATAAACATGTCTATAAATTTGTTATCAATACCAGGATTTGTTTGAAAGAATAAAGCACACATCTTTTCTTTCCTTGAAAAAACCCATAAATTACCCCATTTAATAGAGAACCAAATAGGATTAATAAAATTATTATTAAAAGTCCATTTTTGGTTTGTGTTGTGTCTATTTTTGACCATAGAACAGAAGTGTGAAGCAGGGAGCGAGTAAGCGTCCACAATGAAAAATATTTTGAAATTCATGTCTTGTTTGTATATCCTTTTCTTCTTACTATTTTTGCTACGTACCTTCTAGATATAATGACAATAAACAGACTGTCTGTCTATCCAATGGCATAAAAAGAAGACAAACTGCACGTATCTCGAAGAGACTGACAAGATATTCAATCAATCAACAACAAAAAAAAATACATTACACCCACAATCTATAAACTAACAATTACTAAATTAACACCAATTGATAACTTCTTCTTATTTGCAAACACCATCTGGAGTGCATGCGGGACCATCACTGACTGACTGGAGATTGTTCTCGGAATTCTCATTTTTCCACTCAGTATATGACTTTTCCAGTGTTCTCAAAAAGGAAACGGGTTCCTGAGCACCAGAGACGGCATACTTTTTATCAAATACAAAAAATGGTACACCCTGCACACCATATCTTGTAGCTTCTCTGATATCAGCCTTGACAGCGGCAGCATACTTGTCGTCGGTCAGAGCCTTTTCAGTCTCGGCCTCAGTGAGACCGACCTCTTTGGCGACACTAAAAAGGTCGGACCGGTCGTTAAGGTTCTTACCATCTTGGAAAAAAGCTTTGAAAAAGATTTCCTCAGCATGATTACCAAGTCCCTTCTCCTGCGCAAGTTGTAAAACACGATGGGTATTGAAAGAGTTTGTATCTCTGACAATGTCAAAGTTGAAATCAATGCCAGCTTTTTTGCCAGTAACAAGCAAAGATTTATGCAGCTCTTTGCAGTGACTTACAGTCCAGCCTTTCTTTTCTGCCAGAAACTCGTAATGACTTTTAGTGATGTTTTCGGTGGGGATGGTAGGGTCGAGTTGGAAACTTTTCCAGACAAGCTCAACGTTGCTGGCATGCTTAAACTGAGAGAGGGCCTTTTCGTAGTTGCGCTTGCCAATAAAGCAGAAAGGACACATGACGTCACTCCAAACTTCGACTATCATTTTAGACATTGTGGATGATTTTTGTTAATGAACGTGAATAGAATAACAATGAGTTTAACAAGCTTGTGCTGATGAATGGTGATCGTAAGTAAGAGTGGCTAGGTAATAGGAAAAAAAAATTAGTAAAAGGTATGGCGAAAATTTTGTTTTATATCTTTATTTTTTTGTTGCTAAACTCCGTGATGCCTTTAAATGCCGTTAATACTGCAAGCCAAAAAAAAACAACAACCCCCATAGCTGTTAAACCAGATTCGAGCCAGATGCGCATTCAAGTTCGGTCAATCACGTAATATTGGTTACAAACGTCTCCTTTAGGCACAACAAACAGTTTTGCTTTACTAATCAACGTTGAAAAACGTTGATTACGAATATTCAGGGCCACGGAGTTAGGCAAAGCACGATAGAAAAGTGGACCACTGTTTGAACAATGATTCAACGATTGCCACAATTATAACAGAAAATGATTTGCTCATGGATATCATAGAGTACTCTATTTTTACATGGCTTCAAGGCTGTTGCTTTCACAGTATATTAAAAACGCAGAGATCTAGTAAGTTGGAATAATTGCGCGCCGTAATCTAATTGATAGCTCGCCGTTTGTGAAGTATCTACTTAGTAAATTGCCTAAAACTTGAGAATTCTGGACAAGTGAGATGCAAAAATTGAATAACAAATTCTGTTCATTGTTTTCATAAGTTTAAATTCTTCTCTATGTTCAGCCGGGGGTGATACTGCAAATAAAAATATCATACCAAATTTTTGGTCTTAGGTGCCATGACACTTGTGATAGTAAACATGTCACTATTACATCACGTGATGTCAACAACATTATAAAACCCTCTTGCTACCACCACCACCAACCCACCACCAAAATTTAACCTGCCAACTTTTTCGCCACCAAGAACAACAACCAATTTAAAACCCACGGTCTAAGCTGTTATTATTTGCAACACCAGATACAAATGAGACTCAGGCTTTAGAAATAATCTACTTATCAACTCTTTAAAGCGTATTTTGTTAAGTGCTGGCACTTGGTTTGCACTCTTGTTGCAAATACCTGATGGTAGCAAGAATGCATTACCCTGCTTCTCTCACAAGCTCCCAAAAGGGGGGTTCTACCAAAATATCTTAGTTTTTACAACTTAACCTCTTACCAACCACTTTTTTTTTTTGTATTTTTTTATTTCTTTAAGCCCAGCAGCAACGACAGTAGCTAGTATAGCAACGTGACAAAGAACGAAGATATTTAAAACAAAGCAAAAAAAAAAAAAAAAAAAAAAAAAAACAAAAACCAGAAATTATATTCAGTTAGAGATCGATTCCTTTTACTTTTTTACTCTATCTTTTATTATTATTATTATTATTATTTTATTTTCGTTGTGAATTTTCACCAGCAACATCAGAAACGCAATATAATATGTCAAACAAGATTGTGGTATGTCAGACAACAGCACTAAAGGGTGTTTCGGAAACTAATTAGACTGGTTTAGGGCCCGATCTACAAGGATGTCATTGACGAGGTAATTAGAGAAGTCAGACAGGATTTTGAAGACGACGGCGTTGATGAGCAGACTCTCCAAGAGCTGAAAAGTGTGAGTGCTACTGTGACTGGGCATAAAACCTTTTATACTAACTTTTATATCAGTTATGGCAGAAGAGTCTGTCGGCCACTGGTGTTGCCAGTTTTCCATGGGACGAGAGTGCGGCTGAGGAAGAGGCACAGCTCCATCAGCAGCAGCAGCAGCAACAGGTGTTTAACAGCGCTGGTAACTCGATACCGATCCAGCTGCCTCATCTAGGCGATTACAACGCGGATATGCTTCTACGGAATAATGGTAACAGCCAAGCGAGTGGTGGGGGCACTTCGGGTGGGCTGGTCCTGCCGGGTGGTGGCCACATTGTGCAGACGGACGGTAGCAACGTGGAGCTGACGCGGACGCAGATTGACGACATTATGAATGCGGCTATTGCTAAAAAGCGTGTTGGCGAGACGGAGGAAGGCTTACAACTCGAGATTGAAATTCCTAAGCGGTTGTTAAAAAAGATTCAGCAGACAGATGGCAGTCTTGATGACTCCGATGATTCCGATGATGATGACGACGACGACCTGAATGGCAATGGTATCGTTAACAACAGCGGTGGTATGTCCGCCGCCCATAACAGTCACCTCGGTGGCGACAATGAGATTAATTCAGACCTTGATGACTCTGATGAGGACGGGGACGATGATGATGATGAAGACGAGCTGGAAAATGGTATGATCATGTTGTGTCTTTACGACAAGGTGCAGCGTGTCAAGAACAAGTGGAAGTACGTGCTCAAGGACGGCATTGCCAACATCAATGGTAAAGACTATCTTTTCTCAAAGGCAACCGGCGAGTCGGAGTGGTAATCTGTTTTCTTATGCGAAGCAAGAATGGATTGCGATGCTTCAGCCTTGGCCAAAGTCAAAGTTGGCAGCGGTATTGTTGCCATAACCACGCTGATCCCTATACACGAGTCATGTCCCCAGGTAGCCATGTCATTTTTTATTTTCATTTTTTTTCTCTCTCTATTTCAACCCAATCATTCATCTTACAAATGGCGATGCCAATTAACGCTGCTCGCCTATTATACCGGGACTCTCCTCTGGGCCTGGAGTTGATTGTCCTACTTATCTTTATTCCAGTTCTTAATTAAAATATATATTAGGATAATAAACCGATTTATTATTAATATAATTATTGTTGCTAGTTGTTTTTTATACGCTTTCAATTTTTTTTTTAGAAGGTTGTAAAATCAGTAAAAGTCGCAGCTTTTAGATAATAGGCCTTGATACACGATAAACAGATTTATTTAAAAATCTATACTGTAACAAATTGAAAAACAGCACAACGACACTCATTTCTACCAAGCCGGTTTACTAATTTCCGGGTACGAGACGCGATCACTGTCTGATCGGCATCTTACTAGATACACTTTATTTTCAACTACAGTCCCATTTCACACGTGATTGCCATACGATATTTTTTGTTTAACAAGCCATCATTGTTTACAGGAAAAAATATCTCTATTTAAAAGGACCAAGATATTGATTATAGGAACAAATAGATAAATTACAGGAGCAACTAAAGCACTAATATTTGGTACTTCCTCCGTGGTTTTTTATAACTTCTGCACATCTTTTTGGCATACTTTCAATGCAATTGATTACCACTTTCTTGTCAATTTTTTCCCACTCCTCGCAGACAACTTCCCCCAGTCTTTCGTATGAATGAACATTAGGCATACGTTTGTCAATTGCCAGGTTGAGGATATGCCAGATGTTTTCGATCGGGTTTAAGTCAGGGGATTGCGAAGGCCACTCCATGACCGTCACATTGTGGTCCCTCAAAAATTTTGAAACGCAACTTGTGGTGTGATACCGAGCATTATCCTGCTGAAAAATATATCCAGATTCATAGTGAGGTAATAAATAATTTTCAATAATATCTTGATAATTTGCTGATTTCATTGTGGTTCCGTGAGGGAGCACATAAATTGTGCCAACTCCATCTTTAGAAACAAAGGCCCAATATCCAACGTAGGACCGATTTTGAACGTGGGTCCCATGCAACACAAAAGGATCTAAATGCTCATGAGGTAGGCGCCATAATGTGTCTTTGGTAGAGTATGAGCCGAGGTGGCGACCCGATTCGTCGGACCATATAACGCGAGACCAATCTTCCACTGTCCAGTTACGATGAGCCCTTGCCCACTTGAGTCTGGCTGAACGGTGCCTTTTCATGAGCATTGGCTTGTTAATTGCTGGCAGTCTTGCATATCCTATTCTTTCAA